GGAACAGCAATTGTCCGAGTTTCCGAAAGGCTGCCTCGCTTGGTCAGAGTTGGGCGGAAGCAGACAATCACAACTCATTTGGGCTTAAGATTCGTCATCCCCTTTACCCAAAAACATGTTTCACCCTGGTGTAGACCTTTCACTGCTTTGAACACCACAGAATTCGAAAAAATGGGAACCCGTGTTTTGCCCCAGTGGAAATCCTCTGGGCTACGGGTACCGCAGGTGTTTCAAGCCACGCCGGAGCCGATTGCATCCGAGCCGGCGCCAGCTGCAGCGCCGGTGAAGGCGTGAGGGGTGAGGCCAAAGGTTGCTTACTTCCTGACTTTCCCGGCTTCAAACTTTTTTGAGGTTGGAAATGCAGACACAAAACCGAGAGGGTCAAAGGCCCTGAGAGCCATTTCCATATTTACTGACTCCATGGCCAGCTATGGCCATCCAGCTTATGCTTGCTGGCATTAAAGGGGCCTAAATGTTTGGGACCTCCAGTGGTGGGATGGACTGCAACCAAACGGATGGAGATCTCCATCCTACCTACCATGACCTCCAGCGGTGCCTATTTTTCGTTTGGGGGAGGTTCACTCGCAAAAATCAACTACCTGGTCCTGTGTAAAGCAAGCAGGAAAGCAACGGCGACGGCAAGCCCTTGTTTCTTTGGAAACCCACTGGAGGTTTGGACCTTAGTTGCCGTGCACGTGGAACCCAGCAAATCCCGAGAGGAAAATGGCGGTCAGGATGGGGGGCCACTGATGGAAGATTCGCATTTCCGAGGGCCCCTCCGTGGTTTCCGTTGCTTGGTTTCCAACTTTGGTATTTCCATGTATCTATCTACTAGTATCTATTTGTTTTTGCATATGTCTGTCTTGATTTCTTGCGTTCTTTCTTTCTTTATTTATTTTATTTATTTATTTATTTCTGGCTGTCTGTCTGTCTGTCTGTTTGTCTGTCTGTCTGTCTGTCTGTCTGTCTGTCTGTCTGTCTGTCTGTCTGTCTGTTTGTCTATGTCTCTCCATCTATTCTATGTCTATGTTTATGTCTGTGTCTATGTCTGTGTCTATGTCTGTGTCTATCTATGTCTGTCTGCCTGCCTACCTGTCTGCCTGTCTGTTTTTCTGTCTGTGCGGGTCCCACAAGCTGTGAGGGAGCGATTCTGCCAAAGACAGGCATCATGCCTGACGATTGCTTTGGGTACCTTCCCTTCATCCTAGGTTTTGTGAAAGCATCCACTGTTGATATCCCATTCCCATCCCTCAGAGCTATGTGGAAGGGCAACAGCACAATGAAACTGTGTTCGAAGGAGCTGGAAGTCCATTCAGACCATTCACTTCTGCGACTCTATAAGTCAAGCAGCAGCCATCAAATGTCCAGTTCCGCGTGGATTCGACAGGCGCATCACAAAAACCGCTTGCAAGGTGACTGGGAGCAGCGATGCCAAGAGAAACAAGGCCGGGTCCAACACTGATTCAGAGCCAACTTGCAAGGGAGCCATGGGAGGGTTTGAAAGTGTTGAATGATTTTGATGATTTCAATGGTGTTGATGGCCCCCTAATTTCTAGTAGTCACTAGTATTCACTAGTCGCGATTACGCCGCACCAGCTCCCCTTGCTGATGCTCGGAATCACTGAAGGGAGCCGGTGTTCGTCTTCGGGGATCTTGAAGCGCTTCGAAGGTCTCTGCAGGATTTACATACTATGCCAACGTAAGCAGCAAACCAGGCTCCTTACCTTTGAGGCGTCCATTGTAATTATGCTGGCACTGGGGTTCAGTCAAAATTCCTAGCTGCCGCTTCCTAATTAGTGGAATTGCAGCGTGTTTGGGAGGCGTCCAACAAGATGCGGCTGGAAAGTGACATCGAGGCTACCTGGATCTCCGGCGCGCTTCCGTCTTTGGAAGGGGGCTCTCTTCAAAATCTAGCCCCCCTTCAAAATGAACCGAGGGCCCTTTTCCAATCAGGAGGCTTGGCAGAAGATATTGGGAAACATGGGGCTGCAGTACGAGCAGAAATAGCCAGCCGGAACGGAACCAACCTCCACCAAAATCAAGAATGGCACTTCAGCGGGTGGATCTGTTTTCCTTCAGCCAGAATCCTCACGTGTTTGTTCGGGTTTGCTCGTCAGGCCCATAAAGCATCGGTCCCTTTATGCCCGGATGAGAAAGAGGTCGATCATTACATTGGCTGCCTTCGCAGGTTTGATAGTCCTCATGCTAATTCCCGTGAAGTCATTTGGATCGGTTTCCAAATGCCAAACTGAGCTTTTTTGTTCCGGACTGGTTTGGGGGGGTGCGCTTACCTGGTTACGATGACAGTTTAGCTTGCCATTTCCACACCACTGGTTTGCAAAGCCGCCTTGAAATTGAGTCAATCCTTTGCGCACCCCCTTCCCACTAGGAATAACATAGCCATCTAGCATCCAGCCCGATGCATATCGGAGCCCTTCAACCTGACCTTCGGTGGCTCCGCTTTTCTTGGCAGGGGGATCCTGATCAGGATCAGGTAGCAAGAAATGACGGCCCTGAGTCCACTGGAGCCACAATCAGCTCAGGTAAGTGCCAGTGAGCCATAAATCGCTGCAGATATCCACACCGGTGTTCTTTACCATGGGTTTTGGGTACACCAATTTTGTACCAGCATTTGATTATGACTCACTGGCAGTCTGAGAAAGACTGAGGCTGAGCTTCCACCAACTATGTTTCCTTCGTTGCTGGCATGTAGCTTTTGATCATGCCAGCCAAGCCATCTGGAGGGAGGGGGGGTTTGTTGGGGTTGGGTCATGACTTGATGTTGCTATATGTGTATGTGCAGTTGTTGTGAAACATGGTTCTGTTCAATTTGAAGGCGGCAAGCTTTATAGCAACCGTCGAGGTGTTGTGTTGCATCTCCAGCGAGGCACGGGATCCTGTGCAAGGGCGCGAATATGCGTTGGAATGATCAAAGATGAGTCATTTCAAGCTTTGGTTCAGGCTTTCCGCTCAGGTTGAAGCACCAGTTGAGGCACAGGTGCTGTCCAAGGCGGACCAACGGGGCGGAGTTTTGAGGTTGAGACCGTAACTGTACCTTGCCTGCCTGTCCTCCCTCAACATTGGCGCACGCCAGCAGCGCAACGCTCCGATCAAAACTATAGCCGATTGCCCAGATATGGTTGCCCGTGGGTCCAAATAGGTACCCAAGATGGGTTCCCCTGGTAAATGGAAGCAAGGACTAAAACCTGCAGTCCCCTGGCCCCTCGTGGATTCATTTTGACCCATACCCATATAGTTCTACCTGCTGCTGGGGATCTGAAGGTAAACTAAAGGAACACTCCCAAAAGGCGTCCCAGAGTCTACGAAGCAACCCCAAATGGAAACCAAAAGAAAGTTAGGCACCCTCTACACCCTCGCTTCACCCTCGCTTCACAGACACAGAGTCCTTATATGTCCCCTGTGGATCCTTTTTGGGTGATTTAGGCAGCACACGTTGGCCGTTTCATGATCAGTCTCCTATTAGCCGGGGGATGTTTAAAGGGAATGTATACATATACAAGGAGCCTTTGCAACCTGAAACATGTGCATTTCCTGGTTCAGTTGTTAACAGGTTGGTGTCTCCAGTTGGCCGAGCCCCCAGCTGGCTGGTTGCCTTTTGGCGTTCCACGGACTACCCTCCCACCAACTAACATGGAAGTGCAAAAAGGCTCTTTCCAAGAGGAAAGTAGTCTTTCTGCAGAGGTCTGTGCACTTCCATGTTAGAAGATGGGAGGGTGGTGCGTTCAAGGAAAAGCCAAGACGCAGAAGGACCTTTGCAGAAGCCCCGTCAGGCGGACGCGCCGCTCCCAAAGCAGCCGCCCCCAGAGCTGACGGAGCAGGCGCGGCATGGCGCGGCGTCTGTGAGGGGTCCCAGGCCTCCATGGGATAGATTTTTCTTGAGTTTCGGCCTGAGAATCGTACTAAAGCCAGAGCTCCCACACGTTTCTTTTTTGGGACGGTACCTGAAAACTCGAGTTTTGACGGCGTTGTACATCAACTCTCTGTGGGTAGGGCCAGTCAGTGGGCACAGGCGTCACCTAATTAAAGGACAGAGCAAAGAGAGGGTCCTTACCGGACCTGATAGGGAAATGGTCCCTTTAAAGGAGACTGACTGGATTTCCCACAGCCCACAGCCCACCCCACACAGGTTGGGGTGAAAGTAGATGGCACACTTGCCGAACAACTCCCATGTGGGTACCGGGGACAGCCTATGCCATTGGGTCTTTGCTTGCACCCAGCTGTTCGACTTTGACGAGGTCTCGCAGCTTCCGCCTCCTCCGGAGGTTCCGGAGGCTCCCGAGTCGATTCGGAAGGGCTGGGATTTCACGCGCTGGAACCACTGTAGCCACTCTTGATTCCGCCCTTTGTCTTGTCGTTTTGGGAGATGTCCTTGGCATCAACCAAAAAAACAGAACGACGGCGGCCTGTCGTTCTCCATGCAGCCGCTGGGCTTCCGAGGTTTTGTTCGCTTGGCTCAAGCTCACTGGCAAGCTCACAAAGGAGAAACAAGACCATGGTGATGGTCCTGTACTTATGGACTCCTCAATTCAACTAATGCCTTAAGAGCATTGCAGTTGAGTCTTTGACCAGGCAATGCAAACCGCCCAAAATAAGCACGGAAGAACAGCGGACAATTCGGAGGCATTTCTGGGGTGCCGCCTGGGGAAACGTCCGCAGGATACACTTCAGCCCAAGTCCAAGGAGCCTTAGGGTTGTGAAAAGAGCTGTGAGGCTGGCATCACTACCGCAGTTCTTCAGTGGAATCCATTTTCCTTGTTTTCTTTGTGGATTCTCCTGGCAATGGTCAACCCTCCCCCCAAAAAACAAAACAAAAGGGCTACCTTTTGCTGCCGGGGTTACTTGGCAACGGGGAGGAAGCATGATGGTGGTGCATTCCTTTGGGGCTTGCCGGGGACGTCAGACAAGGGACCCAATTTTCAGATGCTGGTATTTGTTTCCATCAGGGACGCGAAGCGTCACCATGACCACCGTTGCATTGAGATTGTACGACCCCCTATTCCTAGACAGAGTGATTGAACAACTGAATGCCATCGTCCTTTGCTGCTTTTGCGACCTTTGCGGCGACGCGCCGATCTGCTTGTGCACTGGCAATCCTTTCCTTGTTTGGCGGTCGCATATTGAGCACCATGGCCTTTCCCGGCATATCAGCGAAGCAACTGCGAGTAGAGCGGGCGATTCGTCTCATGCAATCCGTCTATGGGAACTTTCAATCAACAAATTTCCCTTTGCCCCTGCCCGAGGAAGAAGCGGGTCCCTGTGACAATGGACAGCGACGCTATCTTTGGACAGACGCCTTTGCCGTGTTAAATCTGGTATCACTCGCAGAAGCCTGCCCTTCAGAGACGACAAAATTCCTTGGCTTGGCCAATCAGTTGGTGGACACCGTGCATGACAGTCTTGGAAAGCCTCGTTCGGCCTTGTCCCAACATGCAATGCAACCAGACGCGAGTTCACCCTCTGGTTACGTGGGACTACGCATTGGCAAGGTGCACAGTAGGGTCGTGACCGATGCGGGCATGAGCTATGATGGTCAGTATTGGCATTACATTGACAAGTGGTTACTGGCTCTGATACGCCTGGGACGTCCGCAAGAGGCGGCACGCGTTGCCAAGTGCGTTTTTGGGCATTTTTATGATGCCACTGGTGGCGGCATGCGCTGGAAGCTCTCCGTGGACGCCACTGCGCCTGGCCCACTCCAGTATCAACCGCCCGGTGATGATACATTGACGGCACTCATTGTCTTTTCTCTCATTGAACACCATCTGCGGCAAGAGCAGTGTGCAAAGTATTCACTGCAGAACGAGATCGACAAGCTACGCCAGTCTTTGGTTGGCTACAAGGGCCGAGTCACCTCCGATCCGCTTGGATGGGGCCTGGCAGCGATGTATGATCAGTGGCTGGAACGGAAGCGTACAACAGAGCTCCAACTCTACGCAAAGGACGCGCTCAGCACCTTCCACATGTCCTTGCCCTTTCGCTTGTATGGGGCCTTGTTGGGTGCGAAGCTATGTCCAAAGGCAGTGGATGAAATTGCACAGGAGCTAGGCCCGCTCGTGGAAATGGCGGTCCGCTATGAAGAGTCTCACATTTTCCAAGGTACACATGAAGAACATTCCAGCATTAACCGAGTCATGTTGGCAACGGTTTTGCTGACCCCAGGAGCGTTGGGACGAATGTCTGGAGAACCGTCGCTGTCCTTGCGATAAAAGTGAGATCGATAGTGGCCTGAGACATGGTGGCATGAGTTCGATGTGGTGAGCATAGTACGCAGCAATGCATAACTTTGGTTGTCGGAAAAAAAATAGGCCCCCATCAGCCATCAGCTCAAGGGCAGAGGTGAGACACAGGGAGCTGAACTAGTATGGCCCGCGGATGACACACAGTCGTGTGCCTGTGTGCCAAATAAAGCTTCTTGGAAGATCCTCCGGCACATTTGTCGACTTGCTTCTTTCCCACAAATGGACACGCACACTTTCATTAGCTGGTTTCTTCCTGTCATGGTCAACTAAATTTGGACAGCGATGCTACAGATACTCCCATGTTGCTTCATACGAGTGCCTACACTGCTGGAAAGAGCAAGCTCAGGAGCCTTGCTCAGAAGGTCACTCTGCCCTTGGGGAGCCCTCTGTCTGTGACAACAGCCATTGCTTTCCGGTGGTTTCTGCTCGCCAGTGAGGGTTGCTGGCCATTGCAAAGGCCCCCGGCTTGGATGAGATTGTCAACTCCCTTTTCGGCGTGTGCCATCAAAGAGGCCCATCTCTTTTGTTGGATAAAGCAAAAAACAGCGTGCAGGCCAGCAACAGGGCAGACATGATTGAGCCTTGTTTGCCTTCTCCAGTAGGTAGAGGCTTGCCGGAGTGAGGGATGCAGTGTGCATGCTTGTTGTGACTAACTTAATGAAGCAACAAACCGAGTGCCAGTGAACTGAGTTGATGGTTCTTCTTGGACGACCTTGGAAGCGTAGTCACGTAGTCTTCAGAGTCTTAGTTTGGCTTGTAACAGCTTGCGCTCAGTAAGCTGTATTGAGGCCTTGCCGGCATGGTAGGCATGATCAAACGCAACAAGCGTGGCCCGGCCTTCCGCAGCATTTTGCATTTTGAACCTTGGCAGCCTGGGACAAACTAGCGATCCCGCTATAGCTTCGATGGCGACTCCAGCATGCGTGCCGACGATGCAGCCCAATTCCCAGATTCCGCAGGCCTGGGGGTTGGCCGACACATATATGACTTCTCAGATGGAGCTATGAGCTGGGAAGACGGAAGTTTACATCTTGGGCTTTGGGCTGAGAAGGTTGTTCTGGGATTCATTCGTACAATTTTGTTGAGCCAATGGCACCATCATGCGTGTTTGCAGTATTGCAGGTTGCAGCCTTGATGTGTCTTTGTGGGGGTTGGGTTCGAGATCTAAGTATATGTTGATGGTTCCTTCTTCTTGGATTCGAGATGTCAACGTGGGCTCATGTCTGAGGTTTGCAATGAGTGGAGTCAGGCTTCATGAAGTGGTGCAATATATGTGTGTATATCTAGCTAAGTTAATTCCGCGCAGTTCCATATCAGTGGCAGGTCATGTCCTTCTTCCCCAGAGCTCCGGTAGTGCTCTTGTTTCCTTTAGTTGGCAAAGTCACCCACCAAAGGAACAAAAAGGCTGCCTGCTTTCCCACGGCCATTGATCTGGATCTCATTTCGGATGGCTTCAAGGCTTCTTTGAAGTGGGAAAAGCCACGTGGTTGTTGCGGCTCAAGTAGGTGAGACGGATTCATCAATGTGAATGAGCAGGTTTGTCCACCGGAATCCCTGTTCCGAAACTTCTGGCTTAAGATCTCATGTCCACACAGTCAACAACAGGAAGGAGAGTTGGTGTGACCAGAGGATACTTGCGGTTGGCCTGAGAATGGAATTACTTCGAGGTTGTTTCCCTTGGATACTTTAAGCCAACCGCTGAGAATGGCACATTCCTTCCTTTCGAGTGCCCTGACAGCAATGACCTTTTTTGGGTCTCCCTTGAAGCAATCACAAGACGTTTGACCTTGGAATTATATACCAAGCCATGGAAGACAATTTGGGGACACAGTGCCCAGCAGTTTCCCCTTGAAGGACCCGACTTTTTGGGGGCCGTCCTCGTACAGGCCATGGCCTCGCAGCAATGCGCCCGGACGGTTTAGGGGTCGCTCTGGCTCCCTTTTTGGTGGTTTCAACATTAGCTTTGGGCTGAATTGAGTTTTTGCTTGTCCTCTAGTGGGGGTAATGCGGGACATAGATGGAATGTTGTGTGCTGGAATTCACATATAGCCATGGTTCATCATCCGGGCTGCCTGAATTGATTTGTTTGTACATGTGACGTGTGTGTGTGTGTATATGTGCTGCGGTTGGCTGTTCGTTGCAGGTGGGTGGGTTACACGGAATATGCATTCGGGCAACATGCGATTGAGTGAGTCGGGGTGGGTGAAGCTGACTTCTCTATCCCAGTGAAGGCACGGAATGCCATGACAGTTGATTCAGACCATGTACAGGCCCTTTGCCCGCGACCTGTCTTAGCATATCTACCTCCACCTTGTGTTGAGGTTACTCTGAAACTGGGCAGGGGCTTCAATCCACAACCATCCAAAGCAATGCAGGCGAATGCAAACATCGGGTCCTGAGGCTCTAGGATGATTTGCTTCGGACAAGATCTATATGCGTGCCCGTCCCCTGAATTTTCAGGCTGGTTGCCCTTTGTCCGTTTTAGGTTTGCCTGCAAAGCAGAGCGCGCGAAATCGACCTCAGAGAGACCGGGTGTCAGACATATGAACTCAAAATCATGGTGGCATGATTCGCAAGGCCTAGACATGCCGGACAGATTCGCCGTCCAAGGCATCGTCGCGATGCTCGTGCCGGCCATGCAAGTGCCCGCGCCAATGGGAACAATGCCCGGCTTTCCCATGGGAGCCCAAGCTGTGGCAATGTTCTGCACCCAGCCTATGGCCATGGGCACTCAGCCTATGGCCATGTGCACCCAGCCTATGGCCATGGCCACCCAGCCGGAAGGATTGCAGCCCAAGAAAGAATGGTCCTCATTTTCTTCCTCTGATTCCACGTCCGACTCTTGGAAAGCCACGGCGTCCTTTTTGTTTGGGCTGCGTGGCTCAAGTCGACCATGTTGAAGGAGCACCAATTCACCAAGACTTCCTTCCCATTTGGAAGAGGAGGTGCGCTCCGCAAGATTGATTCTGTCAACCCCCTTTGCATTAAGCGCCCAGCAACCCTTGCTACAAACGCCACGAAGGAAATCATAATTTATCTTTTTGGTAAGAGGATCCGCTATCATATTGGTTCCTTCAACCCACCGAAGATGCCCACCAGTTCGGCAAAAGTAGTCCTTGAGGATTGCGATATCGATTGCTGCCCTTTGGTCATCTACCTGAGAGAAAGTGCAAACCAACTTTGTTCACGCAGTCGAACAATGATGTCAAATCGACTACAGCCACAAAAGGAGTCGAAGCAAGCTTTTCCTCCCAGTCTTGGTCGGTCATGTTCTGCCCGAGGATCTTAAAAAGCAAAAAAATGTGCCAGCGCACGTGTCCAACTCTATGGATTAAACTTTGGCATTCTGCTGACAAGGTATTCACTGTTTTCCTCTTCAGTCTTGTGGATTTCCCTGAGGTCACAGAAACCTGATGCGCTTTGCCTTCTGTTTTGTCGTGGAAAACGGTAATGAAACCTCCTTGGCTGCTGCAATTCATCATTTGCAAGAATGCCTCACTAATACCTGCATGTCCCAGTGATTCTCGGTTGCTTGAAGAAACTTGTCTTCCCAGTCCAGGCCTTGTCGCCAAGAGTCGTGATCGACTTTGGCGTGGTCCAGGTGTCATTGATAACTTAGTCCTGATGGTCAACCTTGATCTGCCGTCGAGATGAAATCTGATGAAGATTTGGTCCACTTCTCATCCCCGGATGAAGGCACGTCCTTCTGTGGTGTCTGATCCAGCTGGTCTCAGTTTCCTCCCAAAAGTCGCCGCTCTGATTCTCCTGCGATAAGTCCCGTGCATTTTCCTAAGGAGCGTCTGTCGCTACTCCAATTCTCAGATTAGCAATCGGCATGGTCCGAATACCGCTCTCAGGAGTCTTTTGCGCTTCCTTTGTAATTGCATTGGCCTCGATTATGCCCTTGACCTTGGGATCTGGAAAGGACTGCTGAAGCGTGGCGACTCATCCAGCCAAGTCAGGCCGTGTCTCCTTGCTTAACCACGAAAGTGCTCCCACGGCACGCAAATTCGAAAGTTCATAGTGCAGTTCGAAAGCCTCTGCCTCCGCAATCGGCTCAATTCAGTCGCATGTAATTTCTCTCTGGTATAGTGTTCTTGTTGGAATGTCACGCTACCATCTCTGGCGACAAAATTATTACCTACTCGTCCGTTTTCAAACTGAAACCTGCCCAGCTTGTAATTATGATGCATTCTTGGTGCTCCCGGTCACCTCCATGTAACAGGTCATTTGTTGCAACTCCAGTAATTCCACTCAGGGAATCGGTTTTCTGATTGTGTTTGTAAAGGATGCACGGACCTGCCAAGGAGTGCAGCTTTTCCACCAAAACTCGATGCAGGTGTTTAAACCGTGCCAATGGACCGTCGGATAGTCCAGAACAGACCTTAAGAAGGCAAATCAGTTTGTCCTGGTTGAAGACCTGGGAAGGCATGCCTGGGATGCCTTCTCGGGGCTGCTCCGCATACACGGTCCGTTGTATAGGATCTCCGGAATGAAATGCCGGAGAAAAGTGCAGGAATCCCAGTTGCCAGCGATTGCTGACAATCATCTGAGTTACCAAGAGTGCTCCTTCTCTCGTCACTGCGGTGTAGCCGCTTCCGTCTTCGCTAAAGCCTTTCATGACGTGTCGGGCTTTCGCCTTGCAAGGTTCGTCGGTATACCAATCAAGGAGAAGTTGTCCCTGCCTTGAGTCTGCATCATCCTGTGGTTCCAATGGTTTCGCCGTCAGGACAAAACGACTCTCCATGATCTTCTGGGGTTCTTGTTGACGGACTCCTGCTGATTCTTTCTGGCTGACTGCCTTGTATGCGCCAATCTGAAGGTTGTTCTGGATTTCCGTCTCGATGGCCTTGCGAAAGCACGCCTGGTTCTTCTTGTTCAGGTCAGTGATGACTTCCTTCCGAGACCGTGCTTGAGCCAGTTTTTTGGTACGACCGTAGTAGATATGCAATTATTCCGTCCGACTTCTCTTGGCTGGTTGTTCGCTCTGAAATTCCGCGTCGGTTGCCTCTCTTTTCTCGCCTTGGTTCTGTTGAGGCATTCCTCTATCTTGTTTGTCAGTTGGCTGTTGGGGTAGCTCTTCAAAGTCTCTCTCATCTTGTGGACCTTTTTCTCAATATCTTCTTTTCGGAGCTCTGGTCGGTGGGTCGGATTGATGCCCCTGGGCAGCAATTCTCGGTCCATGTGCTGATCGAGAACTTGGTCACTTTGATCCTCTTCCTCTCCATGTAACTCTGGTATGGTTCCTGCGGATCTATGTATAGCCCTTCTTTGGCTCCTCCAGCTGCGCTTCGTGTTAATGTCTGAAATCCAACCGGTAAGTTACCGGTAAGGGACAATTTTCTTAAAACGCACTGGGTTGATCGATCATCACAATACGTCCCGGTCCTTGCCAGTACTTGGGTCGCGCTTGAGTTTCTTGTTGGCGCCCATGCGGTAAAAATATAGCACTTCTCCGCTATCAAAATCACAGATTGTTCTCGGTCCAGCGGCAAATAGCTCTCCTCAAGGCATCTTCGCAATCTGCTTCCATAAATGCCTTCGCTGCTGCCTTCCGAATTTTCATTGCCCGGGCTCCTCCTCTCTCTCCTCTTGGCTAGAAGGAAAAGCTTCGTTCCCCGCATCACCGGTAAGAAGTCCTCCAGGAATTCTGGGCATGTATCCGATGACCCGCTGGATTGGAGAAAACCCGTTTTTTCAGCATCAATCTGTGCTTCATCGTGCCAACGACGTCGACCAAGTCGTCCTTCATATTTTCGCAATTGAATTCATCCATATATAGCCTTGCGTGGCACACATTTTATGGTTTTGAAAGAAATGACGCTCAGTTATAGCTCTCTGGAAAGGGGCTTCTATCGAAGCCGGTTCTACACAGCTTCCGTCGGTTTGAGCTCGTTGTGAAAAGATTGCTCCGGAATTCCTCACCGAGGTCAATCATAAGCGCCTTGGGCGCTCCGAAAAATCTCAACCAGTGTCTGCATGCAGTTCGGGCTTCCTCAGGTTTTTTGGAATGGTCTGGTTCGATTGGAGTCTCTAGTGCCGATTGTCGGCAGGTAGATAATGTCAACTCCCACTGGCTCGTTTGCCTCAAGCTTGGCGGTTCCCTGGCAAACAGCTGAAACGGACATGTGCTGGCACCATCAAGTACCCAGTTGATCACCACCACTCCAAAAAGCACACGATGAATCAATCAGGCTTTCTACATCCCGGACTCCCTTTGCCGCAGTTGTTCAGATGTTTTTCAGTGGATGCCCTTTTCTCCCTGTTGTTTGTTGGGTTCCTCACTAAAGTTTGTTGGCACCCCTTTACATCCAAACCAAGCCAAGCCACTCCAAGGGGGTGACAGAAAACGGATCGCGACCTGAGGATGAGATCTCCCGAGCACCGACCTCCTTGTCCAGCAAGTCCTCCAGTTGGAATGGGCCCGTGGCCGCCGGCCGCGTTTGGAACTCCGCGACGGCCTTCTTCAACGAGTACTCCTGTGACTCAGCTGGCTTGTCGCGCGGCCTTGCATGGCTTCGGAGACCTCCCTCTTCCTGAGTTCATGCGCTTCAGGCTTTTTTGGAAGAGCATTTTTGGTGGCAAAGAGCAAGTTGTGGCGCTTGTTTGGTGAATTCACGCAGAAAGTGGGAAAAAGAGGGTGTATGGGGTGTTGCCCAACTAAAGGGCACCAAGCCCCTGTGAGCCTTTGAAAGCTGCAAAGCGTACCTGCGGTGACTTGAGCTCTCAAGACTTGCCATTGATGTTTGTGACCCTAATAATGCAGTTGCCATTGGACCATTCTCCATATCTAACCAAACAGAACACCAGGAGGACTCTTTCAAGACCAACCCTTTGTGCAACTATGTTCTGCACTTGTATGCTGATGTTCCGCAGTTCCATGCAATTCCACGCTGGGTTGCCCTTCAAGTTCAAGCCAAGATCCAGTGTTCAGTGGACACCCACTTTGGGATTTGTCAAAGACGGGATCAACCCCCAGCCAAGGGTTCCTTGTTGAATGGTTTCCTAAGGCGATGAGCTGCAAGTGCAGCTGGAAGGAGACGCCCAAGAGGTGGCGCTGGCCATGCAGACCATGGAGCACCACGCCGCTTTTCTCAAAGACGGCGGGCAATGGGCGACTGTGCAAATCTCTGGAGCCAAGGCAAGCTGTTTAACCAAAAGGCGCTTGGAACGATGTTGAATTCAGGCAAAACAGGGCGCCTTTTGGAGGAAAATCGTTTTCCGCAGGTCCAGACCTGCATGAAGTGGTGCCTTTGGGGGGGGCTGTGGCAACTCCCAAAGAAAACGTCTCATGGCCACGGGAGGTTGGGAAGTTGAAACGAACATTTTTACGCGTTCTCGAACCCAGCTTCCCTTTAACCCAGAACAAGCCCTGCGTTTGGCCGATCTGCTCCTGGCAGCTCCAGCACGTGGGTGTCTTGCAACTTAAGAGCGTGTTTGGTTACCTCCGATTCCTTTGCTTGGTGGGTTGTTCAGGTTAGTTTGCCACCAACAAAATCCGATTCAGGGAAGGACCAGTCTAGAACACAGTCTGGATGCGTTTGTGGATCTCACCCTGCTCTTCCCTCGTCCATCCTCTTTTAGGTAGTCGACAGGGACCGAACCCGAGCTTGAGGTCTGGGACCTGTCGTGCCATCCCCAGGGCTGCCGCCTTGTGCAGCTCGCCTTGGAAAGGAACCAGCGTCAGGCGGGCGTCCTCTCCAGCGAGCCTCGGACACGTTGGCCTCCTAAACATGTTGGTTGGTTTCCTTTGCAGTTGGCTTCCTGATGTCTTTTTGGTTGTCTTCCTGATGTTTTTTGGGGTTGGCTGATAATTTTGGTTGGTTGGTTTCTTGGCAAGGACGCCCCTTCACGATCAACCAACAAAAATGCACCCGTTCATATTAGGCGTGGAGCTTCGAAGCAAAATATGGAAGCTTGCCTGAACCTCAGCTAACTTGGTAGTGCAACCATGGCTCATTGCACAGGAACTCAAGCGTGTCATCATCACATGATAAGCATCTTGGTAAGCCAGGGGCTTGGGCCTGCGACATGTCCTTGTCCCAGAGATCCGGTGAGTTGCGCCTTTTCCGCCTGTCTTGTGTGGATTCCTTTGAGGTCGATTGCCACCCTTTCGCCTCCATTGTCAATTCAGGCTTGTGTTTCTGGAGGGTTCTAAAATGACGTTGGGGGAGCAGGAGGGTCGTTGCATGCTAACTGTTAAAAAAAGGTCATCTCAGGACATCGCTGCAGTAGCGCCAGTGTTGTTCGGGGGGACATGTTTCTCCAATAGCGACAGCATTGAGGTCTTAGCAAGTTGCAGGTTTGATGGGGTCTGCCTGAGGTAGGTTGATGGAGGGTTTCAAGCCCACAGCAGCAAAGAAGGTCAGGTCCTAAAAGGAGTCATGTTGACAACTTGACAAGCGCTTTCAGGGACCCAACTGCAAATTGCAAACGGGGATGACTCTTTAGAAACGGGTCACAAGGTCTGAAAGCAAGGCATAAGGACACCCATGGGCACGTTTTGCCAAGGGCGCCCTGCACCTCAATCATGTTGTTCTCGTCAGAAAGCGCATCATAGAGAAAATTGCAACTGGCTCCATTATTGTGCCGTGGCTGGGTGGCTGCAACAATCATTGTATGTTTTTGGGGAGAAATCTCGCCGCTATACAACAACGGTTTACTCTTTTTTGTTTTGTTTTTGTCCGGGGCGTTATTCAGCACAGGACTAACATGACCAGGATCAGCAACCAGCACCCGGGCGACCCTTTGAAATCACAAAGCCTCATTCCAAACCGCGGTGTGTTTCGCGTGCTCCTCCTTTTTTGAGGGACAACAAACACACTGCGCGCGTTAGCGACCCAGTGGAAACCCACCGGATGCGTCTACTGAAAACCCATCTGAGGAGCTGGAGGGCCACGTGTTGGAGGCGATGGTGTCGCCCCATGCTAACTACGTGATACAGAAGGTCCTGACACAACTCACGTGGCCCCCTGGCCGCAATTCCCAAGAAGTTGGTTTTAATTGGGTGTCCGGCTCAATGGGTTCAAAGAATCGCGTTCCTTTCAGATGCAGGAGAACACATGATGGTTCTTTGGCGCAAGCGTTCGAAAACTGTTGAACATGAACCTGCTGAGGGCCCCTTGGCATCTTCCGGGCAGGCCTATGTTATGGCGAGCTCAGCATGCACCAGCTTCTACACATTGGGGTTCCCTGAAATTATTTGTATAATACGGAGACGGCAGAAGTGATGGTCCTGTGTACCCGTGTAGCAAACAATGGGTCGATTGGCAGATGGTGATAGTTTCTCTGTAGTGGCGTGCCCCCACGGATTGCGGACGTTCCCTCCCATTTTGAACAACGCCGATAGTCAGCTAGTCAACAACTGCTTTTTGTTTTGAGGAAACGAGAAGCGCGCTTCTTGCTTTTCCAGAGCACCTCCGCTTTTTTAAGGGTACCCTCATGTACCCTCACAAAACCACGCATTCATCATGACCAGTGACCAGCGGCGCCCGGTGGCCTTGCAACCTGGATGGGTCAGACTAAATGTAGCCGAAGCTTGACTTGCAATCGAACGGATCTGACCTTGGACCAATTGCACAAGGCCGATTTGGCCAGTGCCTCGAATGAGTGCTTTATAGCTTTGGCGCATCCGGGAGTGGATTCAACCCGGGACTCTCTAATTGACATGCTCATATAGCGCTCATAGAGGGTTTTATGCAAGTTGTTGCAAAGGCGGATTCTAGAAGAGCTGGGAATCGGAAAAGGTCCAGGGTCCGGTGAAGCTAAGCCCTGGCATTTACTGCTCTACTACTCAGCCACTCCTCGTAGGCTGTGTTCAGTACTTCTTGGTCTTCGTTCGAATACGCTCCCATCAAGCTTTTCCCAAAACCATTTGAAGCCGACATCAAGCGCATGTTCAACAAGGGGTCGGCGCCTTTTGTCTTTTTCTAGCTTTTGTCCTCGTTGAGCAGCCATTCAACCTGAGGCTTCTGTGAACCCCTTGCTTTGGAACCAGTGTGAACCTTTGGGGGCTGAGGCCGGCAACGGAGTGTTGACACGGCCCTTCCATGAAAGTGACCTCCTCAAACTTAGTTTTTGTTTTGAGTGGGCAATGGAATTTGGTGGTTCCCAAAAGCACCCCTCAAGACCATGCTCAAAATGCAGCAGCGTTTTTTTCTTTAGTTGACTTATGGGAAGAACGGCCACCGTTTTCACTTTACTCGGCTGACACGCCGGCTGGCACCTGCCCGAATCGAGTCTCAGGAGCGCATGCAGTTTCGTGGCCACAGGGGCCTTGGGCCATGGCACACAGATGTCGCGGCACCGTGGCTCGGAGCTGATGGGGTTCTTCGAAGGGAGCGACCGACCTTAGTTCTATGTCGATGTGGGAAGGGAGCTGAGCCCAAGCCAGCCTGTTGCTAAGTCTCTGGCTCAGGGAATGAGGTGGGGACATTTCAGCTGGGGATTCCTGGCGCGTGGTGGCGCATAAATCATAGGGTACAGGGATATGACAAAGTCGTGCCGCCGATTGAACATGCCCAAACCATCCTAAACCCAACGGAATAGCAATTCTCAACTGCAATGCCTCCCAACGCAGAGTTCCTATGCGTTTTGGGAAAAGGCACGACTTCTTCGAAACCCTCTTCGCATGGAATTTAAGCAACGCCTCTATCTTATGCGCCAAGGAGTGTGCACAGTGTGGTTCGCAATCTTGAGACATGACGTCTCTTTTGCTACAGCTGGTTCGGGTCGGCACCTTGCTTTTCCACTCACCTGGGCTAACCTGGCGTGCACATTAGCAGGGGTGCCCATACCGAGCGCGGTGGCGTTGGCGTCACATGAACATACTGCTGCACAGCCTGCGGGAGCTGCATGAGTGTGCGTGGCACACAGGGATGCCGCAAAATCGGCAGCCGCTTTCACGGTCCTCTTGCAACCCAATGACCACGCCGAGAAAACGACAGCGGGATGACCAACGCAAGGTAGGCAGTCTTCTCGGAAAAGAGGCGTGGAAAGGCCGGCGGAGGAGATGATGCCACAACGAAGAGCCTGCGCGCTGCGAATTGTAGACCTCGAAACAAGCTTCGAGAAAGAGAGGGCCCGTGCGTGGCACCTGGTGTCCACGCGGTTGAAATTTTATCTTCCTGTCCGGATGCTGGCGCTTGGCCTTTCAGAGGACATCACTGCTGATACAAAACAGGAACTGGTTTGCAAATCTGCAAGCAGACCCGCATCCTCCAAGTCCAACAGCAGTTAATCTTCACGTCCTTCTTGGCTGAGCCAACAGAGAACTGCATTGAAGCGCTTGGCCAGGTGCTGGCCACAGCGCGGGAGAATTGGCCTGCTCGTCTGGAACAGCTTTCCTTGGGCTTACAGGGTAGACACATGTGGGCCCAACTCTTCAACGGACACTCGGTGATCTCGTTTTGATCTCTTATTGATCTCGTTTTGATCTCGTTTTTTTGCAGGGCGCATTGCGTGTACGCCTGCCTGCCTTCCAGAGAAAGAACACCAGGATGTGAAAAAGACGGCGCAAGAGCCGGCAAAGGCCACCCATTGTATTGCAATCATTGTATCAAGTCTTCCTATATTTTGTAGTAGCTTATCATATGCTTAGTGTATCATTGGTTCTTATGTGCCTGCAGACGCCTCCCGAGGCTGGAAAACATGATTTGCCATCATTAGCGCTCCATTGTGTTTCAGTGTTGACACCCGTTTTGTTTTGGCATGATCAGCTGAGTGACGTCAAGCGTTCCATGGGAATTGTTGCCGAGGCGTGACTTAGGAGTGACTCTTGGAACCGGCGTTTACATGGGGGAACACATGGCCACAGAGATAAAGGAGTGACTTAGGCATGAGCCTGTAACATGGAGGTCAACAATTTGTTTGGGGTTGGAAAAGCCAGGCCCTCTCAGAAAGATGAGCGCTTGACGCCTTCTGCAGCTTACTTGCCTGGATGTCCTTTTCAAGACTCACAGCAATAACTACGATTGAGAGTACCACGTTAGTGGAGCCAGTTGATCTTTCAAAGGTGACCTGTTGTGTGTCCCTGCGGATTTCAATCGAGATGGATTAATTCTTGAGCCGATGGATCATAGTTCTGTCGAATTGAAGCATTCCATATCCACTGAAGGTTACCCAAGTTGTGCGTTTGAGTGGTTTATCTTCAAAGGCCGTTGCTTTTGGCCTTTTTCCCGCTGGCGTGGCGGTCTGCACAGCGCAAGCGGTTAGTCGGGATAGTCGGGTTGGTCTTATCTTTGGGGTGGGCCTGATGTGTGCGTTTTGGTTCTGAGTACGTTCAAAGCCCTGCCAACCTTCAAGGTAGCCTGTCCAGAATAGGGCGATATGTCCAATGGGTTGCCACGCATAGGAGTTCGAGTCCGACCCTTGGATCTTCAAGGAAGATGAGTGTGGTGCTCGGTTTTTCTGGGAGCCCTACCGGTTAACCGATTCCTCGCATAAATATTTGAGCCTGTCAGCATCCGATCTTCAATCCTGGCGCTTCAAGTTGCTAATCGCACACCTGCACCCTCTGAGTTCCAGGATGTTTGTTGTTTTCTTTAAATGTATTTTGGGGTTTGGGCCATTTTTGTTTGTGGCAAGCAAAGGTCAGACTTACTTCTTGCTTCCAATCAAGCCAGGCCCTTGGCAGATGCAACCAGTTCAGATCAACTGAGGATTCGGCTGCCGTATCTTTTGCCGGCTCTTCGAGTTCCACGCAAGGTGCACTGACGCCGACTGCACGGGTCAGTCGGTTTGGGGGAAGAAGGTCGGAAGTCGTTGGGAAATTTCAGGGTTGGGCCGGCGGCCGAGGTATCAAACACCAACTGCCCAATTCGCTGTTTTTTTTTACAACGCCCGCCACCTAAAGCTATTGAAATCGACGTGCCGTCCGTGTGCCATGTTCAGTGAAACTGACCTGGCCAGCAAACATTTTCAACATTCGAGCGTGAAAGACATGCATCAACCCGCAAGGGACAACTCAGCTTTCGGAATCAACTCACAAGAGGGGCCCTTTTCCATGGATACATGTATGTGACACTCGATGCTTGATGCTTGTGTGTGATGCTCTTGCCGCACCAGTATCTGTCACGTGTGTTTCCCGGAGCGCTTGATTTTGGTTATTTTTGGTTTTGAAGGACCAGCTTATGAATCCGACATAAAGAGCCGTGGGTTTTGTGGCCATCGCAGGGTACGTGGCTTGCTGGCAGGCAGGAAGGAACTTTGCTGCTCGTGGAGGAGATTCTGCAGGCGTGGCTTTCGGAAAAAGGAGTTGGAGGTTTTGACGTGAAGCTTGACTGCCTCTGTGGATTGCCTTCCTGCAAGCCAAATTGCAAGTCCAAGCTGTCTGAATCACATGCAATACACCAGGGGTAGCGAAAAGCAATCCAAAACGATTCGAGGGCCCGCGCACTTCCGTGATTGTGGAATTTTCTGTGTTCCCATGACCACACTATCACCTTAAACTAAAGGGATCGCCTGGGTAATTTCCCTAGCAACTGGTGCTAGAACACAGGCCTGACAACCATGTCATGCGGAGCGATTGCCACAAAGGAAAGAATGGCTCCGGTCGAATTTGGGTTATTGCGTTGGATGTACGTTTGTATTCGAAACCTTTCGGGCACAACCAGCCTACCCAAATCCCTCCCCAAGACCCCCATGGGGGTTGGTCTGAACCCATGGCAATCGGTCGGTTCGCACCTGAGGAGGCCGAGGATTTGAGCTGCCATCCATTTGGCCACCATGTGATCCAGACCATTTTGGAGCACGGCTGCCAGAAGCACCGCGACGCCGTAGCGGCACCTCGGATTCGACCGGAAAAGCGACAGATCAAGCATCCCAGACCTGGGTTCAAAGTCAAAAAGCTACACATGCCAGAAAGTGCTGGTTTCCCTTGGTGTAGGGGTGCCCGCGAAGGATTATGGATGATGAGCGACCCTCCCATTTGAATAGCTGTGGCATTGATCTGGATTCTTGTGGCTATGTGTCTCGTTGGATGATTTCACTTATCCAAAAGTGAGTCTTTCTTGGGCAGTGGTGCTGCTTGCTGGCATTTTTCAGCGCAGCCTTCCCCTGCAACTTTTCTCAGAGGTCATTTTTGCCGTGGAATGACCCGACACACTGTTTCCCTTTTAACTGCAACTGCGAGAGACATGTAGAGGATGGTGCTGTAGTGGACCCAGTTCCCCCTCCGTGTTTCCAGACGAGCCTCCGAAACCTACTCTTGCACACATAGGCCCCCTTTGGTTGCACCTGTTTCCATTGTTGCTAGGTTCGCATTGGTCGGGAGTTGTTTGTTTGCACTGGCTGCTTAGGACACATGTAATATGCTTAATTTGGCCACAAGGGCGCAGTCTGACAAGCCGTTGCACAATGTTTCTACAATGCGTGAAAGGTATCATGTTTACCACGTGTTTGTCATCATCGGCAATCAGCACGGTCTTGGTTGATGCAGTCGGTTGAGCCATGGCTGATGCAGTCGGACTACTTGCCCTGCTGTGGGGAATGTTGCGCCAACGGCCCTCCCCCCCCCTTCAATTTGGAATTGACCAGGTAAGTTGCACAATCCGTCGCGCAGCACAAGCCACCCCAGACATTCGGGAAGATGGAAGCCATCCAGCAGTTTTCTGGTGACTCTGGTGGTTTTCGATTGAGTTTTCCTTTCGGAGCAACGAGACGGCAACACCCCGGTGGCATTTCTCGGGGTGAAAAGCTAGGAAGTGATCCTGTCCAACCCCATGGGCTTCGCGCAGAACCAAAATTCAAGCTATTTGGTGGAGAAGGCCTTGCTCAATTGCCGCTGGGACGTTTTCCGGCGCCCATGTTTTACAGCAGAATACAGCAGAGGCCCAGCTTGAGTGTCCTTTGAAGGCTGATTCTAGCAGCTTCTTGGCCCATAGTTGCGTTTCCCTGGGCGATGTTTCAAGGACAACCGTAGAGAACCCTGTACAGTACAGAAACGTAGACCAGACATTAAAAGAGCCTGCACAGCAGCAAAAAGGGGTGCCAGTTGTATTTGTAGGATCTACCTTGGGGTGAGCAAGCGCCAATGTTCATCGATGGTCATTGTCGCTCATTATCTGTCATCAATGGTCATCATCATCATCATCACCGTCACCGTCATCGTCATCGTCATCATCATCATCATCATCATCATCATCATCATCATCATCATCATCATCATCATCATCATCATCATCATCATCATCATCATTATCACCATCAACATCATCATCATCGACGTCGTCGCCATCGTGATTGTCGTCATTTTGATCATCGTTGTTGTTATCGTTATCGTCGTCATCCTCGTCATTATCCATCATAATTCCAGGCATACGTTCATAGTTTACCAAATTCCCCCCACCCCGCCCAGCAAGAGCAACCACAGCAGCAATAACGGCTGCGACAGTGGCGTAACAGGCATTCGACAGGGACAGGGACACGGGGAGACAGAGAGAGAGAGACAAAGAGAAAGAGAAAGAGAAAGAGAAAGAAAGAGAACGAGAGAGGGAGAGGGAGAGGGAGAGGGAGACAGAGAGAGAGAGAGGGAGATGTTAAACTACTGAGTGCATGATACAGTTTCATGTGCACTACACTGGTAGTTGATACATACTGCAGGCAGAGCCTCACTGCCGCTGGAGAGGAAACAAGAGCTGCGGCAGAATACATTTGTTTGTGATAAAAACTACACAGCATGTGCACTTGTATTTTAATGTGGTAGCGGAGCTGAGATCCTACCCAAAGGGGAGCTCCAGTAGAAACGACTACAGTAGCACCCCAGTATGCCCAGCTACTACGACATGACAGCAGGAGATCAACAGGCAGCATCAGCAGGCATACCACCAGCACAAACTACAGGAACAATAGGTGCAACAACAGCAGCAGCACAGGCAGAAAGCGATGCGCAGAGGCTCAATGGTGACTACTCCAACTACGATGAGTGGAGATTCAGCTACAAGCTACTTGGGACTCATCGACATCGAGTTCGACCAAATACTACCAGCAGCAGATGTAGCTACAAGCGCAGTGGTAGCCCAGCTCTGGATTTGCGGGCATTCTTCGCCTTTACTGCCCGATTGCTGTTGTTGTACTGCCTCTTCTTTCTCTCAGCAGCTGGATCATGCGCGTTGTCCTTCCAAAATGTCCCTGCCTTAAACTGCACAAGGGGCTGCCAGTTCAGCGCAAACACAGACTGCGCCGCCTTGCCACCGCTTGCTTCAGATTCAGATTTGCTAGATATGGAGGATCCATCACTCTCAGTCTCATCTTCTGCGCCAAAGGCACAGCCGGCAGTGACAGGCGCCGTGCGCAGCGCCGCACTGCTCATCAGCAAAAGGCCTGACCTGTGAGGACTTCGAAGCTGAACTTGCATTGCGTAGTTGGCAGCCGGACTTTGGCTTGGGACCCAGCTGCAAGGCCTCCAGTCTCTCGTTTGACTCCGGCTTGAAAGCCCTTGAGGGCAAAGGCCGTGGGGCTCTTGCTGCCTTCTTCGGCGCTGCTGCAAATCTGAGATGCGCATGCTGAGTCTGAGGCACTTCTGCCGGCTCTTGCCCAAAAGGAGGCATGAGGCGAAGACATTAAGCAAATCCAAAAAATATGCATCTGCTCAAGCCAATGTCAATCTGGTTTCAATCAAGGCGCCTGTCGAATGACCCACAGCCTTGAATGCCCCTTGCTATGTTGTTGACATTCTGAAATCCGAAGCTTCGAGCCAGTGACCAGCTGAGCGTGGATTTTAACTCAAGGCGCAGTGCGGCATTGAAACACGCAGGCCGGTAGCGCCTGTGGTCATGAGCTATGTTGACATGGTGAATAGAGCGCAGTTCTTTTTTCTGCTCCAAGGCGCCGCATCCTATCTGCGCCTATCTGTGCAGCAAGTGCCTCAAAGAACATCCTCTACATTCAGGACAGCCATGAGCAAGGTGAAGCCAGCGCAAGGCAGGCTCATTCCATTTCCACCCATTTTTCGCAGAGAGCTTTCGCTCAAGTGCTCGACCGGCGCCAGATCCTGAGCAGACAGGAAGAAAGTAGTGCAAAGCACACACGGCTGTGGTGTGACATATTGAAATTATGCAAACGGTGACTGAGGCCAGGTGCAACCCTTGCTGATGCCGCAACTGCAGCTGTAGATGGGTAAGTGAGCACTGCCAATTGTTCCTTCCCGGTCATCAGCCTTCTCCTCTTGTCGCACCTGAACATCACTCACTGCTGTTCTGAGGATTTGGCAATCACTGCGTGTGACACTACCATTAGAGCCAGGAAGCCACAGCTGCGAGCTGGTGGTAAGACACGGCATTGCAAGGTCAGCGTTCTCTGCGCGCCTCCTCTTCCGGCAGTTTGCGCTTAAGTCATACAAACTGCACAACGGGATGTCAGTGCGAAATTGCTCCAGGTGCTGCTTCTGGCATCTCAGGGTCAGTAATTGACAAGTGAGTGCAACACAATGGCAACACAAGGCGGGCAGTGATGCACGCCCGCGCCTGGACAAGATGTGCTCTGCAAGACGCGCAGTGTCGTGCTCGAACGCAACCTCGGGCATGGCAAAGTAGACGTCATAGGTCAGCTTGGAGGCTGCGCCTAGGGGCGCCAAAATGGCGTCCGCCAACTGCTCCAAACTCCACGTGCATGGCCAGTGCTTCTTCTGCGTGTTGAAGGTGATGCGCCAGGACCGCAAGCGTCCGTTAGGGTGGCCAAATGCACAGACATGTCTGTGCGCATCTGAAACGCTGTTGCGGTGTCGTGAACCTTCTTGATGGCTAGGTTGCTGAGTCCTTCCCGCTTGCCGTACCTGGTGATAGAAAGTAAAGTTCTGTAAGGTCCAAGAATGCCAAAAAAGCCCTGGCCTGCTCCAAGTAACAAGGTGCCCCAATGATTGCGCAATTGTTGCTGTCAGAGTCAAAGCGTATAGGACACCTTGGTGTTGGTCATAGGCTCTCTGTCTCAATCAAACTGCCAAGGATTTAACAACAGCCAGTCAAGGAACTTCCGCTTGTGCTGCACACAGTGGCAGGTCTCCCGAAGCTTCAACTTGGCAGGAAGCCACTCGTCGGTCGCGGTGGGGGGCTGGTCCAACATGCCAAGAATGTCTGCGAAGATGCACTTGTCGGGGTACATCTGCTTGCACAGTTTGATGCACACGCGGCTCTTCTCGACCTTGGTTGTTGCTGGCCACGCTTGGACTGCAAGGCCCGGAGCCAGGTTAGGACGCGCCTTTTCTAGAAATAGGACATCAGAGGTAAGCAGAGAAAACAGCCATCATTGTGTGCTTGTTCAGCACCAAAAAGGAAAGCTGTCTGGCAATCTGTGCTTTTTCAGCACGCCAGTTGGCTTGTTCAGCACTCCGTGTTAGCTTTTTCAGCAACCAGGCGGCTTGTTCAGCCCTAACTAGAAAAAAACCAGCCGATGCTTGTTCAGCATGAGAAGGAAAGCTGCAAAGAGTGTGTGGTACCAGTTGGCTTGATTGTTCAGCACTCTGGGTTGGCTTGTTCAACATCCCAGGCGGCTTGTTCATCCCTTGGGCTGGGAGACCAGAAAATTAAAAGCTCTGTGCTTTTTCAGCACTCTGGGTTGGCTACCCCGTGTTTCACTACACTTGTCCATTCGTGCCTACTACAGCCATGGACACTGGACCTTCGAGCGTGGCAGCTACTATGGGTGTGACCACACCTGACCGAGCATCAACCCCACTCGAAACTACGGACACAAATGACCAAGCATCACTACCGGCGCCAGCCTACAACGAGAACGACTACCGATTCAACCACACCACACCCGGCACTACACTTTTCTACCAGCCAACAGCAATTACTGAGCAACTACACATCATAGAGCACCAGACTGCGACTACACTACACTTCAACGACCACACTCACTACATCCAACTCTTCACAGCACTTACTCTTGAAGAGTATCGACTACTTTCACAACAACAAGCAACACGACTCGACCGCCTTGACTAAAGTCGACCAATCCAATGCATCCCAGGCGACCTAAGGAAGCCACACTCACCACGACTCCACACTACTAAGCATCACAATGGCAGAAGAATGCAATGTTCACTACGACCACACCACTTCATTCCACACCACAACTGGCCACCCTGACCACTACGTTGTTGTCAAACTACACATTGAGCAGGAGCCACTGCTGAGGCACCTTACCGCAGGACAACTACTTCATTTCACCCGGGACTACATCTCCTACATGCTCTCCACTCAAACACCACACTACCTTCCAACCTCACGACACGCGCAACGCATCTACAAGGTGGACTACGACATGAGCAGGGTCATCGAGATCTACAGCCTGAAGAACAACTACGTTTGGAACTACCACATGCCCTTGCTTCTACCTGACCTACTTCACTACCTCAACCACCACGACCAACTACACGACTTTCAACACAAAGCAATCACTACCACTCTCCACAAAAGCACACCACTACTAAGGGTTCTCACTACTCACCATGACCAACCTCACTCCATCACAACGACTGCAACTCAACAACCACCTTCGCTGTCACAACCTACAACTGGCAGCACCCGAGATCGATGACACTCGACTACGACTACTTTGTCACACACTACTTCAGCACACTCGACGACAGGCTCAAGCTAGTGCACAACTACAGACTTCACAACTGGCAGCAGCATGCTTGACCACCACATGCTGGACTACATCATTGGAGTCGCTGAGGCTACTTTAACTAGGACCCTGTACAGTCACTACACTCTTTGGCCTTGGAGGGTTAGATGAACTACAGCCAGCAACGTTGTAGTAGACCTACCTTCGGTCATTTTTTGCAGAACAAAAAACTACATGTTAGTTCCTTTTGGGTTCCCCCTTTTTTAAATCAGCTGCGGTTGCGCAACACTTCCAGGTTGCACAACCGAGGGGGCGTGTTAAACTACAGTGAGGGCATGATACAGTTGCATGTGCACTACACTGATAGTTGATACATACTGCAGGCCTTGAGCCTCACTACCGCTGGAGAGGAAACAAGAGCTGCGGCAGACTACATTTGTTTTAACGAGAGAGAGCGAGAGAGAGAGAGAGAGAGAGAGAGAGAGAGAGAGAGAGAGAGAGAGAGAGAGAGAGAGAGAGAGAGAGAGAGAGAGAGAGAGAGAGAGAGAGAGAGAGAGAGAGAGAGAGAGAGAGAGAGAGAGAGAGAGAGAGAGAGAGAGAGAGAGAGAGAGGAGAGGAGAGGGAGAGGAGGGAGGGGAGGGAGGGAGGGAGGCAGAGAGGGAAGTAGAGGGAAGTAGAGGGACACTCAGAGAGAGAGAGCCTCAGTAATGTTTCTTTTTCTGGTTTTCCCGCCAACTCGCTGAGGTTCGGACGTTTTGCAGGAGTGGCTTCTCTCTGAGCTGAGTTCGAATCTGACCACCTTGGCCCCATCCCGCTACGGTTGCTATGTTGCGCGAGCTGTGGTGGAGCACCCCAAGACGCAGCGTGAGGCGCATGGCCGATGTTTACGCCTTGGGAGGTTGAGCGGTTTTGGGGTCGCCTTTGGGGTTAGGTGGATCCCGGTTGGCGCTGCCTTCAAGCCAGGTGGCCATGGCACAGGTCATCGCCTGCGTCCCGGAGTTGCGGCTCCCCGGCTATATGTTGTGGCAGGCTTCCGGATTCCCCTTGCGCTGGCTTCGAAATGAAAAATATGGGGAGCTTTGTGTGGGCCCCCAACAAAGTTACCTTTGTGAGATCCAATGCGCTCCAATGTCCCGAGTCTGCAGTCGGTGGGAAAGGTTTGTTTTGGGAAGGAGATAGGTTCCGCGTCAACATGTTTGGCAGTTTACGGAAGCCCTTTATATCGAAAGGCATCAAAGTCTCATCGCAAAGGTTTTGGAACGGACAGTGGGGTACCAACGGGCGGTCCAGATTGCTTTCCACGTTTGAAGGATGCATTGTGTTTGCTTTATTGTTTGGGGGTGAGGGGCTTGCTTACTACCTGATACAACCCTGCAGAACAAAACGCAACCACACAACTTGTTTCAGAGGAATCTCCTTTGTTGGGACGCCCCTTTTTGGGCCCCACTTTAACTTGCAGGGGGGTCGGGAAAGTGGTGCAAAGTGTGGGCGGGAATCGTGTCGACCCCTAGGCGGTGCGCGTGCTGAGGGTCCCTTGCTTGGATGTGTTTTATTCATGGCATCCGTCCCTGCAATCCGAGAATCTTCCCGCAACAAAGGCACCCTCCAAAAGGGGCGCCTTTTCAATCTGCCTGCCTGATGGCAGGCTTACTTGCGGGAAAACTGAGCTCACATCCAGTCACAGGCACTTGCTAAAGTCGCCCGATTGTTTTTTTGTCATAGCTTTGGGGAGGGCTGCTTTTGGAAGTCATTTCTTCTCTTGCAATTGCAGGGGGGCTTTGATGCGGCGTTTGAGGCAGCATTTTGGGATTTGTTGCGATTCCGGGGGCGTGTCTCGTTTTCTTGGCCGGTGTGCGGTCGGTGTTGCGGAGCGGGTACGCTTAACATGTGGTGCCGCAACCTCGCACAACGTAAAACTGGGCAATCGCTGCGATTCCATGGGGATGAGCTTCCGACTTCCGAACGCTGCAAAACGTTGCGTTCGGCTACATGATCTTGCTTTCATGAAGGGAAGCACCGAAGAGACGACAATAAAACGGCTTCTTGGATCTTGCGAATTCATGTGGGAAAGCGTGATTGGGACGGCGTGGGGTGACTTGCACGGGTACCTGTCGCGGCAAAGCGTGGCGTCGTCGCTGCCGAATTGTGTGAGCTCTTTGTGATGAAGTATTGTTTTCAAAGCTACACGATACAGGATATTTTTTGGCACGTCAAGCATCCCCGACAGTTTCAGGCAGGCGATCCTTTGTTCAGCCGCCTTGCATTTGATCGGGCCCTGCCTCTAGTTAGAAGTGTGGGAAATGAACCGCCAGATGGTGTTGTTGTTTGGGTTGGTTCAAGGGGTGCCTGGTGGTGGGGTATGCTGATTTGCGCTAGGTTTCTGATGTTCCCTGCGTCTCTTGCGATCCCCGTTCCCTTCGATCAGGGATGGGGTGCCCCCAGAAGTCGGTTCGGACAATCGGAAACATGGAATTCAGGAACCTAAACAGCCCACCTCCCCTGATAGACAATGGCTAGATTGGCGAAGGCCTGTCACTGATCAGCGCCTCCCTTGTATGCCACGTGTCACCCAACTCTTGGGCTTTGGGCATGGCGCTGGGGTCACCCGGAAATCCATGACGTCCAGGGGCGTTTGATTCAGCCGAGGAAGACAAAGCACGGCCAGTTTCTGATGTATGACCTGGGCTTGGACCGCCGGAATCGTAGGAAGTGAGGTCTTGCCATTTGACTCGCGGCAATCCCCTTGGGATGTCTCCTCGCCACAGGGCGACAGGCGCGTGGCAGACGCAATGTGGCTGCCTAATTCAACCCTGCATGTGTCGGATTGTTGGACATCCGCACGGTAGCGCCGACCATTCTTTGACCGCGCGCCGGGTAGCCATTCCATCAAATTGTTGCGGCGACCCGGCCTTCGCATGTGAGCGCCACCGGTTTCTTCTCCTGCTAAGGCTCCGGAAGTGAAAGTCAAGCAACTCACAACTAGTTAACAAGCCCATTTACAAGGCGTAAGTACGCATCATGGAAGTTCAAGGGCGAAGACCTTTGGAGAAGTATCGGCATGTTCCCGCAACGTCGTGTTTTGCTTCCTTTCAGTTGCCCACAACACTTCCATTCCAGTGGGCCCCATGCAGGAAATTGGATTCCGCGGCTGCTTCCGCGGATCGATGTGGAAAGGCCCCTGAGCAGAGTTTGTATTTGCATGCGCCCTTGCAATCGCCACTTTTGGAAATCATGGGTGCCAACAGCTGCGTCCGCGGAAATTGTAGCAAAGTTGGCAACCTTGCCTTAACCATGAGGAAAGTTCCTGTTTAATTTATACCTATAGGATGCTTGAGCTTGGCTGAGAGCCGTTTGATCCAGTTGTGGTTCGTATAGTTTCTATCCTGTTGCCTGTGGGTCCCCACTAAAAAATGGGACAATTCGCATCGAGCAGCATGAGCAGCCTTGATGTTACCAGACCTTTGTGCCTGACACCGGTTGTTTTCGGAAGTCTCGCAGAATTCTGTTTGCACCTGGCACCGTACCAACTTGACACGCGCTTAGCGGGAGCTACCTAGCGGGATCCAAAGCCTGGCTAAATACAACCAGTTCCTTTTCTGATAAGCGGAAGAATGCCCTGTGCTCGTTCACATTTCTGTTTGGGACTTGTTCAGAATCAACCAAATTAATTTGTTTGCCTTGGGGGCCGAAGTTGAGGTGATCGTCTTCATGTTTCGTTTGTTGATTTCCAGTTTTATTCCGATTATTATTCATTATTCTAGGATATTCTAGGTACCCAAGCCATCCGCGTTGCAGCATGCTAGTGGGAAACATGTAAACCAAAGCTCTGCTCAGGTGTTAGCGGGACGCACGGCCAGGACAAACCTGTTGACGTGCGACCCTTTCGCTAGCTAGGCTGGCCTGTTATTTGTGTCATTATATTCAATCGGGTTCCCTAAAACAGTTCTGAATGTGATTCTTTGGTTGTGGCAAGCGAGAAGCGTGGGTTTCTCGCGATGATCAGATCAGTCGAACGGTCCTCGGGGACCATTGTATGAAGGCTCGGTGCGATCCGACCTCCTTCCAAGTTTTCAGCTCGGGATTTCTTGGGCTTCCGGCTAGTTCCAGGCTTATTGGAACACGTGCGCGGCACAAGGGGCAATTCCCCCCCATTTTTAACATCAGCAGCGCTCAGCAAGAAATGGCCCAAGGTGGCCGAGATCGCATCCATCGAGAAGTGGAAATGAAGCATGCATTCCTTGTTACAGGATCCCTGAATGGACACTGTATTTTGTCCAACTTTTACCAGCTGAATAGAGGTTCCCCATGTAAAATAAGTGGTTTGGGATGTATCCTGCGTTCGGCCTGCCAAGAAAGAAATGTCGCGAGGGTGCTTCCACCGTCAGTGCGACTTGATCTTCTATGGGGTCAAGCTCAGGAAGGCTGTCTTTTCAGGTTCAGAAAGCGTATCATTATGTTCTATGTTGGCAGAACCACGTCTCACTGGGTGAGCTGGGCTCTGCTCATGTTCTGTCTACTTCGCCTTGCAGTTGCGAGGCCTTCGCCAGCACAAGCCATGTCCTGGGCAGGCCAGTGCATTCTTGGTCATATTTCAACCCCTGTGATGCCCTTGAAATGCGCCACCATTAAGAAAGTTGATGCAAGTGAGTGAGTGGGTAAGGGAGTGAGCCGGTGAGGGAGCCAGCGAACGAGCGAGCGAGGAAGGGAGAGGGAGGGAGGAAGGGAGGGAGGGAGGAGGGAGGGAGTGAGTGAGTGAGGGAGGGAGGGAGTTCGGGAGTGCGTCAGGCGTCAGGAGTGAGTGAGTGAGGGAGGGAGGGAGTGAGTGAGGGAGGGAGGAAGTGAGTGAGTGAGGCAGTGAATGAGTGAGGGAGTGAGTGAGTGCGGGAGGGAGTGAGTGCGGGAGGGAGTGAGTGAGTGGTTGAGCGAGCGAGTGAGTGAGTGAGATTGGGAGTGAGTGAGTGAGTGAGTGAGTGAGTGAGTGAGTGAGTGAGTGAGTGAGTGAGTGAGTGAGTGAGTGAGTGAGTGAGTGAGTGAGTGAGTGAGTGAGTGAGTGAGTGAGTGAGTGAGTGAGTGAGTGAGTGAGTGAGTGAGTGAGTGAGTGAGTGAGTGAGTGAGTGAGTGAGTGAGTGAGTGAGTGAGTGAGTGAGTGAGTGAGTGAGTGAGTGAGTGAGTGAGTGAGTGAGTGAGTGAGTGAGTGAGTGAGTGAGTGAGTGAGTGAGTGAGTGAGTGAGTGAGTGAGTGAGTGAGTGAGTGAGTGAGTGAGTGAGTGAGTGAGTGAGTGAGTGAGTGAGTGAGTGAGTGAGTGAGTGAGTGAGTGAGTGAGTGAGTGAGTGAGTGAGTGAGTGAGTGAGTGAGTGAGTGAGTGAGTGAGTGAGTGAGTGAGTGAGTGAGTGAGTGAGTGAGTGAGTGAGTGAGTGAGTGAGTGAGTGAGTGAGTGAGTGAGTGAGTGAGTGAGTGAGTGAGTGAGTGAGTGAGTGAGTGAGTGAGTGAGTGAGTGAGTGAGTGAGTGAGTGAGTGAGTGAGTGAGTGAGTGAGTGAGTGAGTGAGTGAGTGACGTGAGTGGCCCCATCAAAGCGCGCCGGCAAGTTGGCTGGCTGCCCAATAGGCTGCCCGACTCGGATCTGATCAAGGGTTCTAGCTGGCCACGCGGGGCTTCGTGCTTTGGCAATACTGCTGGTTTGCTTTGTGTGGGCAAAAGGCGGCCCACGTCCAGCGGCCCACGTCCAAGAGTCGAAAGCGCACACACCTGCCTTAGTTTCCAGGTTGTTTGTAAGCCCGCAAGATTCTTTTCTGGGGGATGCAACAGCTCCCAGGCTTGCAGGGCCAGGGCAAGTTGCCCAAGTAAAAGAGACATGTGACAAGAAACCCGAGCATCGGACCCAACAAAGCAAAGGCTCCAGCAACTGGCAGCGCACAACACGCATGAGGTAGTTATTAGACTTGTCCTGGAGCCACTTGACAAGAATGCACTCGAATCTGTCCAAAGACCAAAGAGGTCGTCTTACTGCTCCTTTGAGCAGCGTGGTTTGCGGCGCAGATCTTGCGCAAGTGAAGGCCGCAAACTCCGCACAGCGCCCGGGCAGTCCAGCAAGGGCAGCCAAAGGCAGTGTTTTCGAGAAAGCCAGCAATTTGACACGAAGCAATTTCTTAAGTTTCCCAGTTTTCTCAGCACTTGGCTGGAAACACTCCAATGTTTCGCATGCTTTGTTTCTAGTCCAAGCCATCAATTCTGACCACTGGAGTTGAAAAAACAATGCCCGGCACTTTGCACCCTGCGCGCCCGAAAAATAGGTCGCTGCTGCGGAATTGCGTCGAGGGTACCTTGTTGACTAGTCGAAGGGTTCCCTAGAATCCCTCCTTTCTCAGATATAGAGCCTTGACAGCAAACGAGTAAACCGCCCAAAACCAGAAGATATCCGCAGAAGTTCTGCCCCAGCTATTCGTGTGCCCGGCATGCCACGTTTGGGTGCCACTTGCGCTGTACCTCTTCTTGCCGTTTTTCCAGTGTTGCCTGTCCTTCACCGCGATGTCGGTGCCGAGCTGTTGACCATCAGGGCGGACTGTGTCTTTGACGGTTTGAGTTTCCAACCCTCAACTCTTGTTGTTGGAGGGGCCGGGTTTTGACAAAACAGGGTTGGGGTGGGACAAAAATGGGGTGCTCCACCAACTTGAAGGAAACGTTGTAGTTTGGCGGCGGCAAGATCCGAACGCAGCATTTTTGGCCCGGACGTAAGCCACGGAAAACACGTGCGCATAAGATCGCACAAGCCGTGCCTTAGCTTGTGGAGATGACGCCATGCGTGCCAGCCATGGGACCAATGCTAGCCGTGCAAGCTATGCAGATGAAGCTTAGCCTGCTTGGACCCATGTTTTTGACGAACCGTTAGCCTGCTTGGACCCATGTTTTTGACGAACCGTTCGCCAACACGTGGCCAAATGTGTTCCAGCTAGTGTCAGTGCCCCGTTAATCAACGGGTACCAAATACAGACAAAAATCCAATTCCCACCCCAAAAAGTGCAAAGGGGTACCAAAGTCAATACTTTGGCCCGGAAAAACTTCCGGCTACGTTCCAATCCTTCGATAGCTTTGGCCTGTATTCGCAATCGTTCGCATCCACTAGTTCTTCTTCCGTGCGCTGGGCAAGTCAGAAGATCTCTGCAAACCACACTCATCCCCCAAACTGCCGATTTCCTTGCATATCTTGAAAGCAAATGTGCTCAGCCAGCAAATCTCCTAGGGTAGCATGGTGTCACCCCAAACGCCCAATAAGTCCCTGTATCAATCAGTCAATCACATGAGTCAGCAAAGTTGGACGGACCTCTTTGCGCAGGGGGCAGCCAGCCGCGCAGATGAACGTCGTGGCAATGATGCCGGGCCAGTGCATCGTTGCGATGCGCGTGCACACGGAAACCGTCAAGGACAGCGGATTCAGACCGATGCCTTCCACGCCTTCCACGGGGACTCCGCCAAGCACTAGCGATGAGGAAGCTGAGGACGTTGACATGCCAATTGTCCAGCTTTCTGTTTGATGGGCTTCCGGCAACACATTGGAACCCTTATTCTTGCAGTTTGACTGGGCAACTGGAAAGTGACAGGGGTTGTTGCCTTTTGTCACCTTTGTCCGCCCGGAGCAATTTGCCATTCTTTGACTAACTTAGGCAGGTTTAGAGGCTGTGACCTCATGCATGTCCCGTTTTGTTCCGAGTTACCGTGTTCCTCATGGGAAACCAGCCCATTATGGCCACGGGCTCACACGTGGATGTTTGGTCCCCAATTCCTTTTGGAGCGATGCTTCGGGATCCCCACCCCTTTATAAATGAAAGATCCCCAGACAGATTACCCCAGAAATTTCTTTCATTTTTGTTTGTCCAACCTCCCCTGTCCCTGAACTTCCAGAGAAGATCTCTGCCAGCCAGTCCTGTCCGCTTATTGACTGCTGACTTGAGAATGACAGGATCAATCAGCCCAAAGACTTTGTTCTTAGCACCACATATAACCAATCGTTTTGACTGCGTTGCTTGACCCCCGCGGGGATTCAACCATAAACCCCTTCCAGTACAACCTCAACAAGGTGCAAATGAAGGTTTTTTTTAGCATTTTGGCAACGGGACAGCGGCACACGTGTTCATCGGGGGAAGATTTTACTGTGCTGATGTCCTGGCCGTTTGGTGCAGTTTTATTACACGTTTCGCACCAAACGGTCTGAAAGACTACAACGATTGCAAGTGTTGAGGGTCGCACTTCCGTCGGACCCGCCGAAGTCCTTGAGGAGCTTGACAACCGGCAAAGGCGAAAGCCTGCAACGAAGCCCCGAAGTTGGCAGCCAGGTCCTGTCGCAGCGGGCTTGGTGCGCAATCCAGCGGCAGATTTCTTTGCGCAACATTCCCAGGAAAGGCTCCAGAGGCAACTGCAGGGAGACCGGCAGGAGGTAACAAAGGCCTTGGGAGCTGCTTGCCCGGTGAATGAGCAAGTGTCTGTGGTTAGGAGGTTGTTGTTTTTTTTGCCGACCGCGTACCCATGCAAGTAAGGCTTTGAAGGGCCACGTTTGGGACCTGTCTTGCCACCAAGCGGGCTGCCGCTTGGTGCAACTGGCCTTGGAGAGCGCGAGCCAGCAGCAGGCGAGCGAGTTGGCCAGCGAGCTCAAGGGCCACGTGCAGCAAGCGATGGCCTCGCCCCATGCCAACTACGTGGTGCAGAAGATCGTGACACGACTGCTTTGGCAACTCGACGGCGTTGTGCGCCGCCCATTGGAACAATGCAACATGTGCGGTTTGTCCGCTTGTTGATGGAAGCTGACACTGTTCCAAGTAACAGCTGGAGCCCCTCAAATCCCAATGTCCATTGCCGTCGGGAACAGGGCGTTCTAAGATTAACTCGCTGGACACGCAGTTTGAGGCGGGGTTCTCCCGAGCACAAGTCTGTTGCAGGAACGGTCAGGAAGAGAAATCGGCTTACTTCTTGCCCCTGGCTTGGGCTCACAGTGGTCTTCGCAAACTGTTTGCCCTGGCAGCAGTTGCTTAATCAATCCCTGTTCATTAATATGGGGGTGTTCCCCTCCAAAAGTGATGAATCCCCACGAAAACCAGGGACACCCCCATGGGTTGATTAATCCAGGGTCAACATTACGCGGGTTGAACATGCGACTGGCCCAAGGAGCTCGTGCAGCTTCGTGGCAGAGGAGCTGCTGCGGGCCGCGGTGCAGATGTCGCATCAACGATTTGGCTGCCGCATCTTTTGCCGGCTGCTGGAGTTCCACGCCAGGCCTTTCGCTCAGACTTGCGGAGAATGTCGGTCTACATGCTCCTACAGAGCTGCAAAGGTCATGCAAAAGTCAGTGTGCAATTGCGGGTTGGGAGCTGTGGCACGTTTTCCGTGTTTCCTCTAATGTGTGAAATCAAGCTAGCTGGCTGGTTAGCTTAGCTGGGCTTCCCAATTAGATAGCTGGCTTGAGGGCCAGTGGGCCAGCTGCTTAGTTGGTGAGCCAGTTCGTCAACTATTGGCTAGCCGTTCACCTATTAATCTGGTAGCTAGTTTGCTCGGCTCAACTAGCTAGTTGGCTAGGTAGCTTGCAACTTCAAGAGGAAGCTAGCTCCTTGGCTTGTCTTTTAGGCTAGCCGGTTGCTAGTCAGCTAGCTGCTTAGGTACGTCGCCAGTTCAAAAGGAAGCTGACTCTTGTTGGTCCTTCTGTAGTGTGTTTTTTGCTACGCTTTTAATATCCTACAGGGGTGGATCCGCACAAGCCACATCCGAACCGTTTTCTAGAGCTAGGTGGTTGGTTTAGTACATGGCCAGTTAAACAGTAAGCTAGTTTGCTAGCTTGCTAAGACGGTTAGCTGGCTGGCTGCTTGGAGAGTTCAAGGCACGGCCTGCGACCGGATACATTCCGCGTAGGGGTTCACCATGTGATGGCTGCGCAGCTGCGAAGCATGCAGGGAGCGTGTTTCGGACCTTCGCAGCGGGCTCTGCGAGCGACGTAGATAGCGCACAAATCACAGCGCCTTTGAAGACTGACCCGGCGAAAGTTCGCAGACGCTTCGCCCAGTAGGCTGCAAAACTGCGAGCTCCGCCGTCGCGCCTTTCCACTCCGAGGCAGCTTTGCCCGGCTCTGTCATTTGTCAGGCGCCTGCAATGACTCACTTTGTGAAGAGCCCAGTTCCTGCACCGCGCCTGCTTTTGTTTGCATCTTGCGATTTCTTAATCATTGTGAGTTCATCATTGCTCACGCTTTGTACGCAAGCTCGTGCTTTCTTCGCTGCAGCTCATGTAGTTTCAGTACCACGGAAGATCCTTCTAAGTATCCTTTCGACAACATGCTTTTGTTTAAGCCCCCTTTCGGCGCATTGCCTAACTCTTGGCTGGCCAAGGCCTGGCGCGCAAAACGGAAAGGAATCACCAAGCGTTTGCCAAGCGTCGCTTTGCGGCGACCGTGGTGCGACGGGCTAAGGCAAGACACCGCGCTGCGGCTGGTGGACGAGATCTTGCAGGACAGGGTGGATTGCCAGCCTCCGCCAAGGGTGCTCTTTTTAAATGGCTCCGGTCTGTTTTGCGAAACTAAAAGTTGCGGGCTCCGCTAGTCTAACTCGCGCCATATGCTTGTTGGGAAATGTACTTTTGAACTTCCCCTTTCAATTGGGTGAGAACCATGTTTAATGAGCTTCTAGTTCTACTTTTGGTTGCTTGGTTCCAGTGTTACGCACAGGAAACAGCTGTTGGATTGCATTTGCCTAGCTGGATTGCCCCACAGGAGGCAGCTGATTTGTGCTGCCACCCCTTCGGCCATCACGTGGTGCAGAGCATTCTGGAAGCTTGCGCTGCCGTTTGTTTTGCGCTGGGCTGTTTCTAAAGGTCTTAGCTTGCAACGCGTGGGGTTGCTAGGTAAAACAATGGTGTCAGTTCTAGTGACCTGGCGAGAGAAGCTGTCTTGGCCTCTCACTAGCTCAGGAACACGGGTTTGAGCAGCATTGCGATGTGGTGGCGCATGTCATCGGATCAGATGTGCTGGCCTTCGCCAAAGACCAGAACGCCAGCTACCTGGTGGAGAAGGCAACGCCGGACAGTTGCCCACTGCTAGGGCACACAGTGTTCAAAAAGACGTGGGCTGTTTGCGGCACGTGCTCAGAAAATTGTTTTCTTGACATGGTCTTTGCGCCAGGTGCTGTGCACGTCTTCGCTCGCCTATCAGGAGGCCCTGCTTGCGGCGCTGCGGCCATTCCTGGCGCACCTGGCCGTGTCCCGCTTCGGGTGCTACGTCGCCAGGGCCGTGGTGGAGCATCCCAGGACCCACCGGGCAACCGCCTTGGAGGAGATCCGCATGTGCCTGCCCGAGCTGAGGAAGACCAAGCGCCAAGCTGAGGAATAATCATGGAATCATGGGTCCCCGAGAAAATGGGTTCACCCCAGAGAAGTTTGTTTTCTTTAACCAAAAAATGGGTTCCCTCGAACAAACACCCAAATTGGGGAAAGGGGCCGCCACGCGAATGTCTTGGCCTTTATTTCGCGAAGGAAGATTGGACGGAAACGCGACCAAGACAAAGGCGCTCATCGTGCTTTTCCTGCCGTGTTGAAGCTGTCGCGAGAGCGGCCTTGAACGATGTGTTGGACCTCTTCGTCGTTGGGCAATCCCCCCAAACCAGGGCCGGAGTCTGGCAGTTCAATGGCGCTAAAAGTCCTTCTGTTCATGTGTATAACGGCCTTGCAATAACAGGCCCGCGTAGTAAGCTAAACATGCATGCGCCTAAGCAGTTGTTAAGAGTATCCTTGCCGAGCGTAAGCGGCTTGTACTAAAAAGTTGCACCTTTTGAGGCCGAGCGGGCTCGAAACTCAATGCTTTGTATCACAGTGCTGGCCATGTTGGAGGTATACAAGTGTACTTCGGGTACTACGCCTGTATTGAACAGTTGCAATTTGCGAGCTGGAGCTTCCAAAGTGCACTTCGTGTACCCCCCTATTGAATTGAGTCGCACTTTTGAGCGTTCGCGCCAGAAAGGCATCGCAGAAGCTATCTCTGTGGCGGCGTACAATTGTTAAGCACGGCTTGCGTAAGCCTCGCGCAAGCTCTGACATAGACGCCTTTGCACATACGTTGGTTGCGCGTGTAAGCCAAGCGTAAGTGTTGGCGAAAGCAAGCTGTTATGGCTAATTTGGCCGGATCTCTGTCCAATCTTGTGGTTTCCATGGGCGGGCGTTTGTTGGCTCACAAGGCATGGGCAACTTCTGATGGCCGACCTGGGCTTTGTGAGGCGCTTTCCCAGGAAGCCATCGAACTAAGTTGGGGGAGTTGTCTCCCACAATTTGTTCAGCGATTTCCTGCGAGCATGTGAGGCATGCTTGCACGGAGCAGATACCCCCCAGTTAAGTTTCGTGTTAGTGGGTAGTGTGTGGGAGGGTAAGTGCTCACCAACTTGTTGGTGCAATATGCCTTTCTCTCACGACTTTGTCAAACTCATGGCACCTGAAGTGGCAATCGTGCGTCATTTAAAAGAGTTCAGGCCATCTCAGCAGCATGGGCCCTGAGTTTGGAGACAAGTCGCCAATACAAAGCGCTCTTCAGCGTTGCCCAGCCTCCCGTGCTTTGGCACACGCGCACTTAAATCGTTCCTGGCATGTCATATTGTGTCATCATTGGTTCCTTTGCGTTTGCTTCAACGAGTGCGACTCTTGGGGCTTGCAGAAGTATTTTATCCGAGGCCATCGCCGAGTGCCGTTATGGCCAGGCGACACTCCATTCTTTTTTGGCCTGAGCAGTTGTTCGTTTGCGAGAGGCTAAACATGCGCCGTTCTTATCTTGCAAGCTAGCATTCCCTTGGGGGTTCAGCCAAATTTTGACAGCGGTTATTTGTTTGATCTGCGCTTTGCAGAGCGCGCCGCGGCAACGTGCTGTACAACCATTTTTCGCACATGATGCCGCGTGGCGCAATACTGGTACAGGCTGCGGATTCCAGGTTCAGGCATAAACCTGTTCTCACTTTCCAAAGTTCCGTTGGTTTTTATTTTGGTTCTGGACAATGCCTTTTCGATGGTAAGCAACAAGTCAAGACGTTCAAGACTGTGTTTGGCTGATGGGAAGTGAGCGTTACATCGGGATCCGCCCGGCAACAACCAATTCCAGGAGACTCAACAGGAGCTCACTGGTCGTGGTGAAACTGGAGGATCCTCCGTGGAGTGCTTGGCACCTTGTGCAAGGCACTGTTGGCGCAGGCAAGACCTGTTGATCCGATGATGTCCAGCCGGCTAATAAGCCCAAAGACCCACCTGTGGACACTAAAAGAAGCACGGAAAGATAAGTGAAATCCTCAAGTTAACCGCGAAATGGTGGTTCAAAAGGGAGCCACCCTCTCATAGTACCCTCTCATAGTATCTTGGGAGCCCACAAAATGTGACCCAGACAGTGCGTGAAGCGCGCGCATGGTCTCATGCACCTATCCGAGCCTGTTTTGCCTCGAATTGGGCTCGCCTGATCAGATCCAGGCCGCTTGGACTCTGAGCTGTTTGCAGTTGCCGTCAGCATTTCAGTACCATGCGCAGCGGCTGCAGCCCGGAGACAACTCATCCCTAGGAACACTGTGAAAGATGGTGCCTATTTGCGTGCCAATGCAGATGCATCAGAACCAGCTGAACTGCCCAAAGATGTGTCAGATGAACACCAGATGCGGCTGCTCTGCCCAAGTCCATCATTTGTTCGGCTGTTCTAGATGTGGGCCCAGATCGGTCAAGCTTTTCTGTCGCGCTATGTTGTGACCCCCCCGCCTTTCCGGGAAATTGAATTGGACAAGCCCCGAGACCCCTTGAACTTCTTCGAGGGGGCCAATGGGTATGATGTTTTTGTTCCAACTTGTACAGACCCGTCCCACTCAAGTTGTCCGCTGAGGATGAACCAGATGACTTAGGCCAGCAGTGTGTGATCGCCATGTTTCTGGCGGGGCCTCAGCACATGCACCAGCTGCCCTGCGTGATGGGCAACTGGGCGCAACAAATAGAGTGCGCGAAATATGCTGGTCCCCGTAGGGAAGCAAGGTCTTTCATGATAATGGAACTCGAATGTGTAAGCCTTGCAAGCGGTTAGTTGAATCACCCTGACAGTTCGAGGCTCGCAGTTCCCTGGCGAGAGCCACCACCCTGGTCTTGACAGTGGTTAACTCAGGTTGGAGAGCGAAGTTGAGACTGGCCGAGTTTTTGTCTCTTTTACGGGCTCTGTTTTTCCTTGCTGGTTTTTCAGGGAATCAACAGAGATTTTGTGGAATGCACAGGGGTTCCCTTGAAGACACCACAAGTTGAATGGCTCAGTTGGTGCTCACTGGCCAGGGCTGAATGTATGAACCCGTGCATGAACCACTTGTACGGTGTTCTAGCTGTGGGCAGGTGGGCCAAGAAACTGCCTTCTTATTGTGATAGCGTGGACTCAACCACACTGGCATCGCAGAGTTGGCTACTATGTCCTTCTTTAGCGCCCCAGCACCCCTGAAGAGAAACCTGCTGGTTGGATCTAGACCTTCATTCCCACATGTTTTTTGTCCTATTTGGACGCGATGCCGAGAAGCTTTTTGTTTTTTACTACCCAGACCAGTGAGATGCTTCAATTCGAGGGCATTCCCACAACCGGATTGAGAAGCCGCAAAGTTTTGGTTGAGGCAACAAGGTCAGCCCAATGCCCGGCACTCCGTGCGCTGGAACGCCAAGCACCAGCGATGATGAAGTACAGGAAAAGCGAGCGATTACCGAGGTTTGTTGGTGGGAGGGTCTTTTGGGCTTACGCAAGCGCAATCAAGCGCATGATGATTTCTATTTGTTTTTAAGGTTCTCAATTCACGGGCAATTCGTCATGTGTCCTGCTTCCGCGTCTGGGCCCATGCCCCTTTCCTTTCAGGGGATCCTGTTCATTGGGCCCGAGCAGTTTTTTCAAGCGCAGCCCTCGAAAAGCAAAGCAGGCTCTTGGACTTGTGGGGATCCCAAGGGGAGGTCGGTGGTTCACCGTGCATAGTCTAGGAGGCAACGGGTTAAATTGGTCATGGCCAACCTGCTCAGGGATCTTGAGCCCCCCTTACAAAACAGTGTCGGCCCCACGTAGTTCGAACTTCACTTCCAGTCTCAAACTCGTTTTGGTTCCGCAACTTGATGTCCTAAGAGCTCGATGCGTCGCGTTCCGACTGTTGTGGTTTTGCCAATTGAACGACGGTTCCAAGACAAATGTTGCCGTCGGGAAGCGCCCTCAGTCAAAGCGCCCCCGGCATGATCAGGCTAATTAATGTTTCATTAGCCAGGGTCAGAAGTGAGACGGAGGCTAGCTGGCGGCAACCCAAACCTATCCCGCCAAAGTACCCTCTAACACCCTTTTCTCACCCCGATCAACTCAAAGGGTACCCTTCGGGGAATGACAAAAAATCGCCGTTTTCTTCTGTTCTTCTCTTCTTCTTTTTCCGTCTGTTCCTCTCTTCTTTCTTCTCTTCTTTCCTCTTTCTTCTTTTCTCTCTTCTCTCTTCTCTCTTATCTTATTTCTCCGGTTTTTTCCTCTCTTCTTGCTTCTCGTTTTCCTCTTCTTCTTTCTTCTCTTCCTTCTTCTTTTTTTTAGTCTTTCCCTCTTCTCTTCTTTTCTTTCCTCTCCTCTCCTCTCGTCTCTTCTCTCTTCTCCTTTCTTCTTTTTTCTTTGCTTCCTTTTTATTTTTGTACTTTGGTACTTAATATACTTTGCATACTACTTTCGTACTTAGAACATGCAATTTTCAATCTGCAGCGCCCGGAATGCGCTTCGTGTACTAGATTCGTACTGAACAAGTACGATTTTTGATCTCTCCTCTTCTTCTCTGTCTCTCCTTTCTTTCTTTCTCTTCTCTCTCGTCTCTCTCCTCTCTCTCTCTCTCTCTCTCTTCTGTCTCTTCTCGCTCTTCTCTTCTTCTCTATCTCTTCTCTGTTCTAGGTCTCTCGTGTCTCTTTTTTCTTCTACTTCTCTCTTCTTTCCCTTGTCTCTCTTCTCTGTCTTCTTTCTCTTTTCTCTCTTCTTTTTTTCTTTGCTCTCCTCTCTCTTTGTCTCTTCTATCTGCTCTCTCTTCTCTCTCTTCCCTCGTTTCTCTCTTTTGCGTCTTTTTACCCTTCTATCTTGTATCTGTCTTTTCTTTCTTCTCTCCTCTCTTTTCTTTCTCTTCGTCAATCTCTCTTCTCTCTTCCCTTCTTCTCTCGTCTATTCTCCTTTCTTCTCTCTTCTCTCTTCTCTTTTCGCTCTTCTCTTCTTTTCTCTCCTCTCGTCTCTCCTCTTCTCTTTTCTCTTCTCCTCTCTGTTCTTCTCTTCTCTTTGCTTCCTTGTTCCTTTTTGTACTGTTTTTGCTTAAACTATATAATATCCAGCTGCAACGCTCGCAATATACTTCGCATACTACTTTCGTACTTGAAAAGTGCGACTTTCGAGCTGCAGCTCCTTCGCGTACTACTTTTCTTCTCTTCTTTGCTCTCTTCTCCTCTTCACTTCTCTTCCCTTTTCTTCTCTTCTTTTTCTCTTCTTGCTTCTCTTTTCTCGTCTCTCTTCTCTTCCCTCTTCTCTCTTCTTTCTTCACCAAGTGCAAGACTCCCCCCCCAAAGCCACCCCCCCCAAAATCATAAGGCAGTCTCTGTCTTGCTGAGCATATTCGGGGCCAAACTGGGGGCTCAAATGAGGCATTGCAGCCACAGCAGGGCTCAGCGATTGCGCCGTTTTGGCTTAATTAAGCCTAAAATGGCCTTAACTTTTTGCGGTGGAGAGTGTTCTAAGCTGAGAGGGGTTGCTTAGAACGCACCCCCCCCAAAAAAAAGTTAATTGAGCCTAAGAGCTCGGATTGCCTGGAATTGGCGTCAATTGATTGAATCTTTTCCTTCACCTGCAAGGTCTGACTGCCCTCAAAACCAGCGCATGTCACAGTTGCCAGGGCTGGGCAGGCTCAACAAAGCTTAATTAATCTTAATCAAGCCTAATTAAGCAACATTCAAATTTGCTTAATTAAGCTCAATTACCCTTAATTAGGCTTAATTAGGCTTAATTAGGCTCAATTTGATCCAACTACTTTTGCCAGCCCCAACATGATCTTAACTTCTTGGGGGGGGGAGTATTGGGGGGGAGTTTTGCACTTGGTGGTTTCTTCTCTTCTTGTCTCTCTTGTATTTCTCCTATTCTTCTCTTCCCTCGTCTCATTTCTCTCTCCTCTTCTTTTCTCTCCTCTCCTCTCCTCTTCTTCTCTTTACTCTCTCTCTCTCTCTCTTCTCCGTCTTCTCTCTCTTCTCTGTCTTCTCTATATTCTCTCTCTCTCTCTCTTCTTTCTCTTCTCTCTTATCTTGTCTTTTACTTTCTCTTTGCTTTCTTTTGTCTCTGTTCTCTTGTCTTTCTTCCTTCTCTTCTCGGTCTTCTCTCTCTTCTCTCTCCTCTCTTCTCTGTTCTAGATTCTCTCTCTTCTCTCTCTTCTCTCTCTTCTCTCTCTTCTCTCTCTTCTCTCTCTTCTCTCTCTTCTCTCTCTTCTCTCTCTTCTCTCTCTCTGTTTCTCGCTCTCGCTCTCTCTCTCTCTCTCTCCCTCTCTCTCTCTCTCTCTCTCCCTCTTCTTCTCTCCTTCTTCTCTCTTCTTCTCTTCTCTCTTCTTTTTCCCCCCTTCTGCCTCCTCTCCACTATCTTCTATGGTCTCTCTTCTTTGTTATTGCTTCTCTCTCCGTCTCTCTCTCTCTCTCTCTTTCTCTTGTCTCTCTTTCTCTTGTCTCTCTTTCTCTTGTCTCTCTTCTCTCTTCTCTCTTCTCTCTTGTTCCTATCACTTCTTCTTCTCCCTTCTTTCAGATCTCTTATCTTATCTTCTCTTTGCTTTCTCCGCTGCTTCTCTCTTCTCTCTTCTCAATTCTCTGTTATCTCTCTTCTTTTGCATCTCTTCTTTTCTATCACTTTCTTCGTTTTTTCTCTCTCACTCTCTCTCTCTCTCTCTCGCTCTCTCTGTCTCTCTCCGTCTCTCTTCTTTCCTTCTCTCTCTTCTCTCTCTTCTCTTTCTTCTTTCCTTCTCTCTCTTTTCTTTCTTCTCTCGTCTCTCTCTTCTCTGCTCTCTCTTCCTCTCTTCCTCTCTTTTTTCTCTCTCTCTCTCTCTCTCTCCTCTTTCTTTCCATCTTTCTCCTCTCTCTCCTCTCCCTCCTCTCTCCCTCTCTGTCTCTCTCTCTCTTTCTGTCTCTCTCTCTCTCTCTCTCTTTTCTCTTTTTTGTCTTTTTTTTTTCTCTCTCCCTCTCTCTCTCTCTCTCCTTTCTTTTCGTCCCTTCCCTTCTCCCATCTCTTCTCTTCTCTTCTCCCCTGTCCTCTTCTCTCTTCCCTTCTCTTTTCTTCTCCGTTCTTCCCTTCTGCCTTCCCTTTTTCCTTTACTTTCGCTTTTAGAAAGTACGATGAATCGATCCGCAGCCGCAAATGTGTACTTTGCGTGCAACTCTCGCATTTTAAAGTTGCGATTTTCGGCCCGCAGCTGGAATTTGCACCACGCCACAGCGAGAGCGATTCGACCCACCCAAAGGGCGCGGAGGGTTCACTTTTCATTTTCAAAGTGTGCAGCGCGCCACAGCGGGAGCGATTCGACCCACCCAAAGCGCGCAGAAGGATCGCTTGGCATTGCTTTAA